TGGCATCAATTTGTACATATTTATAGTGAATGTCTAGGCACCCCAACCATTTCTTTCCAGAGTCCATCTTCATTCTCGAGTTAAAAATACTACAAATAGTATTACTTGACTTTTATTTTCTTCTTATACACTTTTGTATTGTTCAACTCCACGTTTTTTTTTTCTTTCAATACATCATTGTCGTTCTAGGAAAAAAAAAACTTGGCGATTTCAACGAAGTTCATTGCTTTGATGACCGATGTAACTCTATGTTTTGTAAAGACAATTCTTGAAAATTTAGTAATTTCATAAAATCAATCAATCTTTTGGACTTTTCAACGGGCTAGAGTCATTTCATATGGATGCAAGTGGATAGGTCTAAGCTCAAAAACATTGGATCGACTTCTTATATGAAAAATCTTTGTGAATAAATAGCCTTTAGACCCTTTTCCGGTAATTCTCTTACCACTACCAAATGGTGGTATTAGAGAATTTTGATAAGATAGTCAAAGACTACATGGCTTTCGACACCATCCCATAATACAACCAATGGACACGTCCCTAACCAATAAAATAAAGTTGATGAAATGATGACATAAATAATAAGGAATTGGCGTTGACCAAAGTCAGAAAAGGATAACGCCCTACGGTTTTCTCTCTCAAATCCAAAACCTAGGCTGTCGAACGTAAAGCAGAACTTATTAAATCGAGGACATAATCATCAATTGGAAGAAAGATTTATTGGATTTTAAAACTATAAAATCTTTCCACCTAAAACAAAAATTGAGGGTCAAATTAGTTGTTAGAGGAGACAAAACGCAAAATTCTTTCACAAGACAGTCAACAACAATATCTCACGGGATAAAATCAGCGGTCTGTCAATTTAATTCAAGTTGGTGCACAAATCCAAACATTATTATTATTAAAGAATAGATTATTAGGTTTTTGCAGAAAAATTCTAAGATATAATATCCTCTAGACCTCACTGGTTAGTAATCTTTTTAAATCATAATTATAATAATGATCAGAGAATTTTCTGGAACCCGTGTTTTGGGATCATGAGTTTAAGACCTATTTAAGTTTATCAAAAATAAATAAATAAATAAATATCATCTTTTGTTCTTATTAATAAAACAATAACATATGTAATTCATTAATTTTTTTTTTTTTTTAATTTCTTTTCTTGATCTTGACACTTACCTTAATCTAGTGAGTAGAAAGATTAATAGGAACAAAAGATATAGGAATATTTGATTTCACTTAAAAAAAAAAAAAAACTTATTGGCACTTGTTGTAGTCAAACTTTTTGAGACTCTTCAAACAATTTGAAACAAGTGGTCTTATAAAAAATAGGGGATGTAATTCATTGTTTATCTCCTTAAACTCAGGGCATTTTCAACCCATCCTAAAACTCTATGGTTTTTTTTTTTTTTTTTTTTTTTTTTTTTTTTTTTTTTTTTCAAATTTACTCCATTTTTAGACATAAATAGTATTCCTCTGTCATATTATATTTGAAAGAATACTATTTATATTTCCAAAAATTAAGTTGATGTTTTGGTTGTTGATTTTAGTCCTTTTATTTTTTATTTTATACATTTATTTTATAAATGTCTTCAAAAGTAGAATTCAAGTTTTGGTTGTCGGTTGCCTTTAATCCTTTATTTGGCTTGTTATCTAGTGATGAAAAATAAGGTCATTAATAGACCGTAGTAGATATGCACTTGTGCACATTAGGAACAATCACAAGCAAACCCCAAAATATGCTAACCAGCCTAGACAACAAGGCCCTAAACCGTTCCATTAGAAGCCCTTGATTTTTATAAATATACTTTCCTAACATTTCCTTCTGCCCAACGATGTGGGATAGCTCCATCTTCACCAACTTTCATTTCTTTCCTTCAAACTCCATGTACATGCTTCTCTTTTGTAATTTTTTTTTTTTAAAATATACTACCTCATAAAAACTAACTGATCATATATAAAATAAAATGAAATTTATATTTTTGAATAAAGAGAATACTATTGTAGATATATATGTGTTCGTTTCCTACAGAATTATTTAAGAAAAAAATGAGTAAATAAAACCATTTTTAAATATAAAAAGTTACTCAAAGCTATATAAAAAATACTCACTTATTAAAATCTCATTTGAAAATGGGCACAGTTTTATTTATAGAGATTTCTTTATAACTATTAGTATTTCAAGCTTGGTGCACAACAAAAATGACAAAACCAAAGAAAAAAGCACAAGCACTAGCAAGAAGCTAAAACGAAACAATTACACATAGTTTATAGGGTTTTTTAGCCAATCGTTCCAAAAAAATGAAACTTTTCTATTTCAATTAGAAAACCAAAGAAAATAATTTTTTTTAATAAAGTTCATGATATCACTTTGTTTCATCTTTCCTGAAGTATAAATTTTGTCACTTTTTAACCTCCAAAGATACCACTACACACATTCACATCAAGTATCTTTTTTTTTTTTTTTTTTTTTTCCTAAAGCATAAATCTTGTCCGCTTTGGGACAACTCATGAACCATAAAAATCCTCAATTGTTCCACCTCAACCCATCTTAGAGTTGCATCATAGGTTTTAGCCGTCACTTCACATCTAATAAATAAATGATCAAGATGTTCTACCTCCAGATTACAAAAGGGACAAAGAATTGACGAAATATCCAACCCCCGATTTGGGATCTACCAAATTAGGTATATTAGGAAATTTATTCAAGAGAATTCTCTATATCAAAATATTAACCTTACTAGGAAGAAAAGAATTTTATCTAGTTTGTTCACTAGAATAAGGAAGAAAAAAAGCCTTAGCAATCCATCTTCTAGTATCACTCACAGTAAAAGATCCTTCATTTTCAATTTCCCAACACCAATTATCTTTTTTGCTAGAAAATCTCATTTGTTCCAAGCTAGACACGAAAACAGAAAATTATCTTAGTTCTTCTCCTCCTGTTATCAAATGTGTACAACTCCAAGACCATTCCCCTTCTATAAAATGTTCGACAACATAACAATCTTCGTTTGTTTCTAAGGCCACTAGTCTAGGAAAACGACTATACAAATATTGATTATGTAACCACCCATGTTTCCAAAATTTTGTATCACACCCATCACCGATTACCTTTTTTAAAACTGAATCAACATGAATACCCTTTTGATGAAGTCGAGACATAGAAGAAACAATACGAGCCCACAGACTAGAACCCGAAATTCGAGTACTAGAATGCTGGAAACCACCATTATCACCATACAACTCTTTAATAGCTTTAAACCAAAGTAAATTGGTGTTATTTAAAAACCTAAATCTCCATGTTAAAATAGAGCACAACTGAAAGCTAGCAAGCTTCAAATTTCGAGACCTCCATTATTTTTAACAGCATAAACAACATCCCTTTTAATCCAATGCAATTTCCCATTATCCTCCTATCCTCCCAAAAAAAAATTAGCATGTAAAACTTCCAATCTCTTAGACACCATATCAGGAAATAAGAAAAGGGACATTTAATAAATCCCCAAAGCTCCCAAAACCGATTTTAGTAACAAAGACCAATCACCTACTAAAAGAGTTTTAACTTACAAAACAGATAGTTTTTTCTTAAATCTATTTGTTATCGTTTGCCACCCTACTTCTCTATTCATATTCTTACCCAACGGAATACCCAAATAAGTGAAAGGTAATTTATCAGCCTTGCAACCAACAACCAAAGAAAAAGTTTCAACCTCCACAAAGGAGACTCTCACACCGAAAAGATTTAATTTATTCAAATTAATTTTCAAGCTAGAAACTAAGTCAAAACAATGAAAAATTCAGACAATGCTGCAAAGATTACCTTTATCTCATTCATGAAAAAAAGATCACACCGTCAACATAAAAAAGATGAGATAAATCAAAGTCACCCTTCGCTACCTGAATGGAAGAAAAAGGATTAGCAGCTTTCACATCTTTGATTTCCACACGTAAGCCTTCCATTATAAGCAAAAACAAAAAAGGTGACAAAGGATCTCCTTGCCGAAGACCCCGATGTAACAGAAATTCATAACTTAGACTTCCATTAACAAGAACCGAAGCCCTAGCTAAAGTAAGTCATGCTTTAATCCAAGCATGTCATTTATCACTAGTAGTCATCATTTGGTCAATAAAATATCAGTTCACCGAGTTGTAAGCCTTTGAAAAATCAATCTTCAATAACATCATCATTTTACATATCTTCTTATATCAAGCTATCTCTTCATTTACCTTAGGAGGTTTATCTAAGATTTGTCTTCCCTTAATAAACATTGATTGTTCATTACTAATTACATAATGATTTACAAAAGCCAGGCACAGAGCTAAGATCTATGTGATGATTTTATACTGAATTCCGATGAGAATTATTGGCCGAAAATCATTAACCACCACTAGACAATTATTTTTCAGGATCAAAGTAAAAAACGGAGAATTACACCGTGACGGAATCTTATATATATATATATATATATATATATATATATATATATATATATATATATATATATATATATATATATATATATATATATATATATATATATATATATATATATATATATATAATAAGATGGTCCCATTTAAAGGCTTTGAGAGCCTTGCAACGGTTGAAAGAACAATGTGAGGTGGCTTTTGGTTTATGTCTAGGTGGCATTTGCTAGAAGTAAAAAGAGCACCGATGTGGGTACACTTACTCCCGAGTCTAAAAGCGTTTGTTTATACTATATTCATTTATCCACCAGTTTGACACCCATTTATTAATAATACATTCCATGTTCTCATTACACCTAGTCATTTTATAACCAAGAGTGGTTCCAACTTCAACAAAAATAGAGATCGCCTCAACTAGGGAGTCTCCATCAATATCTAAAGCACTCCTGAACAATTGAGAAGGTCCTTTCTTTTTGTGTGAACTCATTAAGCTAGACATAAAGACCATTAGCATCTTTATTCCTTTATCTAGACCTTTATTAGGAATAGTTGGAGATCTATGTCTTTCAAATTCAAGCCAGGTTGAGAATGAGCTTTGTCAACTTCAGAGAAATACTCGGTTTTTTAAACTCTCTATCCTCTGTATCAACTTCAGATGAATTATCTGAATATGAAGTAACATCACTTTCATCTCCTTCCTTTTGATTAACATGAGAGATAGGTGGTAGCCAATTAGCCACCTCTATGATATCACTTTCATCCCCTTCATTTTGATTAACATGAGAGATAGGTGGTAGCCAATTAGCCACCTCTATGATATTAACCTGGAATTTGATACCATCAACATCCATATTTATACAACCATTAACTTTGTCCATTCTTTTTGTCTTGATAAAAATTCTCCATATAGCTACAGGCTCATCTTCATCGTCAACGATAAATAACACCTCACACCATATGGAATCAACCTTCTTGAAAGCCGAAGGCATCCACACAATCAAGGGTCATAACTTTCACCCAACACAACATGAGAATCTAACACAAAGTTCTTACGTAATGGTTTGAAATCTAAAAAATTATCTTTCAAACCTTGACATTGCTTGAATTTTAAACAAGCATCATGTTTATTAAATTCAATCCACACCCAATCGCCACCCAAATAAGCAATATTCAGATTAATAGATCCTTCTTTATGACAAACTTTATACGGATTTTACAGAAATTGGTAAACAGAGAAAACATACTTTTTTTCTCTGCAATCTATTAAAACCAATGATACATTTTTTTATAATACAAAAAGAGGCTAACAAATAGAAAGAAGATAAAGGAATCAAAAAAACAAAGATAATAATAATCAAAGAGATCATTGACTTAAAATACGATCCATTATTCTATTGGATTAGGTGTTTAAGCCTATAACTATAATTGTTATATACTTGAATTGATAGTAGCACAATTCTTTTGAGTTGCTTTTATATTAGCAACTAGACAGGATGGCTTATTAAAAAAAAGAAATAATTTATTATTGGGAATAATAAGTTAATATATAAAAATGATTTATTAATATATTATGAAAATAATATATTAATTAGAAATCATGTTATTTAATTAATATTTAATCATAAATTAATTTGGAATTAATTTTGAGATTAAAGGAATTAATTAAAAGTACAAGGCTATTTAGTAATTAGTTAATAGTTGTGGTTTTAGGCTCTTAGACCATCCTAGAAGGGATGGATGAAAACTTCTAGGGATGCCCTAGAATTTTCGTCCATGGCCTTATGGATGGGGAGTCCATGGGTTGCTTAGGCCTTAAGCTGGAAATTAGGGTTGCCTACAATAAACCCTAAATTTGGCTCTAAGCATCCTCGACTATTTAAAAAGCCTCAACCTTATGGATTTGAGTCATGCCATCAAACCCTTAGGATAGCCGAAATCTTGAAGCATCTTCCTCCTCACTCCTTTCATCCTCTTGGATAGTGTGTTTGTGAGCCATTAGAGGTGTTACACTTGTGACACTTGCTCTCAAAGTTCAAGATCTTCAAGGAATCCATCGTTATTACAAAATTAAACCCTAGGCTTTATAATTTTCACAAATTAGGGTTTCATAACCTTGGTTTTCAAAAATTTGCTAAGGGTATTTAACCATTTCCTTTGGCCTCCTAAAATTTGAGATTTAGGGTTTCCTAACCCTAGGGTTTTCGAAAATAAAGCTATATATATATATATATATATATATATATATATATATATATATATATATATGTATACCCTAATTATGATTAATTTGAACAATAGGATATTTGGCCAGGGTAACTACTAATTACGGTGCATATCCATATAATTCACCAATATTATTTCTAGGTACAATGTTATCCTAGGAGATTGGTAAGTATAAAATCTAGGTAAAATCGTTTCCCAAAATATCAAGCATCATAACTTTTATGGGTATATTAACCTAACGTTTCTTGCTTTGTTTAAATACTAATATATATATATATATATATATATATATATATATAAATGTATTTTGATAAACCAATTTTATAAGCATGTATTTTCCCTTAAAACCTTTAAAATAGTAAAATGGTGTGGTGAACTCATCCTTAACATGTGATACCGGTGATGTACGGTTGAATTGGGTGTGGGACTCCGCAGACCGCCTAGTGTAGCAACAACTTCAAGACTAGAGAGATAGAGAGAGGGATTCAGAGAAAGTGTGTAGAAACGGGTCTGAACTGCCTTCTATTTATAGGCTTGGATTTAGGGTGTACTCGACACAAAACTCAGTGCGCGTCATGTGTAATGATCATGGTTCCATTTAGAAGTTGTCATGTCTTACTTCCCAACTTGTCCACACCACTCGCAATCTACTCAAATCTGGTGTCAGGTACACGTCGGATGTAGGTGCGCACCACGCATATGAATCTGATGATCTCAAAGAGTACTACAACTCTCTTTTAGGTTGTTTTAGCTAGTTTTCACTTTCATTTTGGTGCCTAACGGGGGTAAAAATAATTGATTTTACAACTACATGGGTTTGTAAATAATAAGGTTCCTAATCACTGTTATATTCTTGATTAGGCTGTTTATGGTTTAAAATAGGCACCAAGGACTTGGTATGCAACGTTAACCATTTCTTTGAAAATCTATAATTTTAAGGAAGGATCAGTTGATCCCATACTATTCGTAAAGAAAGTAAGGGATCATCTTATGCTTCTTATACGAAGAATATGCTTGAGCGATTTGGCATGACCAATTGCTCAGATACGAAAGTACATATGGCATGTGGAACACTGTTGAGTCCACTTTTGGATAAACATGTTGATTTGAAGATATAGCGAAGCATGATAGGTTCCTTGCTATATTTGGCTGCAAGTCGACATAATATCACGTTTTATGTGTGTAATTGTGCCAGATATCAAGAAAACCCAAGGGAATCACACCTCAATTCTAAAAAGAATATATTTAGATATCTACATCAGACTCCAACGCATGGAATTTAGCATCCATAAAATACAAGCTTTTTCATTCAAGACTATTTAGATACTGATATGGGCGGGCGTCAACTTGATAGAAAAAGTACAACTAGATTTTTTATTTCTCGATGTAAAGCTAGTGAGATTGATGTCGAAGAAGCATACAAGTGTTTCGATATATTCACCTGAGGTAGAGTATGTTGTTACTGATGCTTGCGTTTGGCATGACCAATTGCTCAGATACGAAAGTACATATGGCATGTGGAACACTATTGAGTCCATTTTTGGATAAACATGTTGATTTGAAGATATAGCGAAGCATGATAGGTTCCTTGCTATATTTGGCTGCAAGTCGACATAATATCACGTTTTATGTGTGTAATTGTGCCAGATATCAAGAAAACCCAAGGGAATCACACCTCAATTCTAAAAAGAATATATTTAGATATCTACATCAGACTCCAACGCATGGAATTTAGCATCCATAAAATACAAGCTTTTTCATTCAAGCCTATTTAGATACTGATATGGGCGGGCGTCAACTTGATAGAAAAAGTACAACTAGATTTTTTATTTCTCGATGTAAAGCTAGTGAGATTGATGTCGAAGAAGCATACAAGTGTTTCGATATATTCACCTGAGGTAGAGTATGTTGTTGCTGATGCTTGCGTTTCTCAAGTGATCTGCATACAAAGCCAATTGCGTGAATATACAATAAATATGAAGAAAATTTCTTTATGTTTTGACTCTCAAAGTGGAACTCACATATTTCATAACCCAGTTCAACAATCAATGACCAAACATATTGCTTTTTGCTATCATTTTATCAAAGATCATATCGAAGATGCCAATATCAAACTTTACTTTAAGAATATTATAAATCAATTGACATATATTTTCACCAAGGCGCTTGACAATAAATCGTTTTTAAGGATGCTAAATGGCTTGGGGATGATGGAATCATGTTATGTTACAAAATTTAACAAATTTCCATGATGAAAAATACCAAAGTCACTGTTCACTGATGATGATTTCAATGATGGTACTAGATCGTTCATAGATTACCGTTCTTGTTCAGAGCTTCGAGGGTCTTCGATTTCGATATTTAATTTGAATCGCTCAGGGTGGTTGGCCTACTATCGAAATTTAGGTATCATTTTTCTTAGCTACCAAGATTTTTTTATTACCTTTTGCCTTTTCTTGAAAAATAAAAAATTACAAAAGGATTTTCATTATTTTTGTCTTTTATTGAAAAATCAAAAACATCAAAAAAAATTTCTTCATTTTTGTATTTTGTTCAAAAATCAAAAACACCAAAAATATTTTAATTATTTTTTTCATTTTCAAAAATCAAAATTTTCAAAAATATTTTTTTGGAAATACTTTGTATTTCAAGTAGAAACAAATGAACCGACGAATATCTTAACCATGATTTTTATTTATACCTTGACATTTTGAGTCTGAACAAACTTAGATTTACGGTTATTCAAAAATTGTCTTAATGAGAAAGCTTATTGCCACCATATCTTTGTGAAAGACAAGTTAAAACCAACTACCATCAAGTACTGGTATCAAAATTTCGTGTTTGTCATCTTGAAATCATTATTTTCATGATGTAAGTAAAATCCACAAAATAATACATTTCAAGGAAATGATGATGAATAATTTATTGTTCTACCCATCAAGATCCAACTTTTCACTTTCATGAAAGGAGATTTATGTTTGAACATTTTTCTATATCTTTTGCTACTTTAAATCTTACCCATGATTACTTGAAGTTGATTGCACTAATCAATCAACGATTTTCTAACATTATTTTGCTCTTATGTTATAATGAAAACATGTCTTAAAATATAGTTTACCTTCAATACTGAACAAAAGAGGCCCTTTGATACTTTTATATAAGTTTGTGATTGTAATTCATGGGAAATGACACAAGCACTTCAATATCTCTCTCGATGTCAAAGGAATAGAATCTTTGCCCAAGATCGTACTGCCTTTATATAAAAGTAACTTTGATATTACGATTCATGATCCTACTAACTTAGACACAAATTCATAAAACCCAAGAATCTTGACAAGGGTTGAAACCGGTTGGATACTAATCAAAAATGGATCGTGCCTCAGAACTTTCTCCAAAGTTGGAGTCATCACCCCACGCTTCGAAACACATACCGGAAGAACAGGGGGCCACGTCGTGGTAATGGTCAAACCACAACTTGGTTCCTGCAACTCAGATTTTTCTTGTTCTTCATCTGACCCCTCTGCTAGCAATCTTTCTAGTTCCTCCAAATCTCTTTCTGGATTAAATTCTTGATCTTTTAACTCTAGCTCTTGTGACTCAGATTTTTCTTGTGTGTTAGGCAAGATGTTATCTAACCATCTATCAAATTTCTTCAAATCTTCATCCTATCTACACTCCTCATCTTCTTGCTCAAATTCCTGTACTACTTCCTCAAGAAAAGCATCAAAAGCATCGAGATTTGGAAAATACATAATAAATAAAAATT